ATATATATATATATATATATACATATATGTGTATATGTATGTATGTATGTATGTATGTATGTATAAATTTATCCAATTACACTTGGGGGGGACATGCCTTCTCCTCCTAAATGGCTACCAACTCTGACCTCTGTACTCATAAAGGTCTTTGATTGCCTGGTCTTAGCCCACCTGAAACTCTCTGCTGGATCCTCTACAGAGCTAACAGGTCAGTTGATGATGCAGTCAGCTTGGCCCTGCACTTCATACAGCACCTTGACAGTCCTGGAACCTATGCTAGAGTTCTAGATTAGCTCAGCTTTCAGCATCATAGTGCCAGAGCTGCTGCAGATTAAACTGTCCTGGCTGTCTGGTGCTGGTGGATTGTAGATTTCCTGACAAACAGGAGACAGCAGACGTGGCTTGGAAAACACGTCAGATCCCCTGCCCATCAGTATTGGAGTTAAACAAGGTTGCGTGCAATCATCCTTTCTCTTCAGTTTCAACACCAATGACTGTGTCATCTGCTGTGGAATAGTAAAAGATTGTATAGATGGTGGTGGACTTTGAACACCGACCCCAACCATCCCTCAACATCAACGGCTCTGTGGTTTTCACTGTAGAGTGACTCAGGTTCCTGGGCACCATCATATCCAGTGACCTGAAGTGGGAGAGAATCATGGTCTCCATAGGCAAGAGAGCACAGCAGAGAATGTTCTTCTTGAGACAGCTGAATGAATTCAACTTAATAATTGAAGCTTAATGATCCAGTTTTACTCAGCAATCATCAAGTCTACCCTTACATCATCCATAACTAACTGATATGGTTCCTCCACCTCACAAGAACCAGCTAAACTCCAGGTTATAATCAAGTCAGTGGAGAGGAACATTGGATGTACAGGATGATTCAAAAAGATTAATCCGATTTCAAAGCGCCATATTTTTACAACCATGAGGCACCTCGAAACCAATCACATAAGAATTGAAAGAGGAAAATGGCTCCCTTCAGTCTGTGAGGAGATGGCAACCCCTGAGCAGAAAGCTTTTTGCGTTCTCCACATAAATAAGAGTAAATCCATCATAACTGTGATATTCATCAGCAGTGAACCTCTAACAGCTCAGAGTATTCGTCACTGGTTCCACAATACTGGATGATCTCCAAAATCGCATTGAAAGAGCCGTGAGTACAGTGACACCCGACATGCTGAATCGAGTATGGGATGAATTTGACTATCGACTATTGTTGATGTTGTCCAGCTAGAGGAGGTCATATTGAGCGCTTGTAAAATTACATAATAAACTTTACGCTCACTGAAAGCATTTAAAATTTACTGCATTTTTCTGTAATGATTTACAAGTGAAATCGGATTAATCTTTTTGAATCACCCTGTAGTTTGCCACGTTTCAGGACTTCTACAATAGCAGGGTGATGAAGTACTCTGGCAAAATTACAGGTGATCCCTCTCATCGTGGCCATCACCTTTTCTAGCCACTCCCCTCTGGTAAAAGATTCAGGGCTATCAAAGCCAGCACAACCAGACATGCTAACAGCTTTTTCCCCAGAACTGTGGCTCTCATTAACCGCAGTGGGCACCTTGCACTTTAAACTTAAACTGAAACCAACAAACCACTCTTTCTGTATTACAGTATAACTCCTCTGTCACATAATGGTCATTCTGTATATAATAGTTACTATATTCTACGTCTCCTCAGACCTGCAAGTGTTCACATAACTCTTTAGGGCCTTTCACATTGGCTCTTTATTTTTCTTTCTATTCTATCTATTCTATTCTTACTTTTATGCTTGTCTGGTCTGCTCAGTATGTTACATGTCATATATATGTGCATTCACCAAGACAAATTCCTTGTACCCTCCTGTGCAAAAATGGGCCAAGGCCAACATGGCAAACTTCAAGCTTTTAATGGTCTTAACAACAAATAATTGGTCTGTAAATTAGCAAGAATTAAACAAATAGATAAAGTAACTTAGTACAGTATAGCCTTTCCCCTTGATTTCTTTAAATGTAGTAGTTTTGTGGGTAAACTTGCAGATAGCCTTTCACAGAAAGTATTATTGTTTCATTCAGCACTGATGACTTCAAAGAGCTGAAAAACATTGCCAAGCTAATTTGTGTTTAATATGAGGCCAAATGTTATCTATAGGGTATATCTGGACTTTGACCAGACCTTGGCCCATTTTTTATTTTTTCACAGGAATATATGTGTAACATGCTTGGTGAACTAAGATGATTTGGTTTCTGCCTATGCATAAAATGGTTCTCCCAATATACATATAAAAAGTATAAATAGTTATGCCAATATGTGTATATAGACATGTATGCTGTCACACCTGGTTCCCCTGAAGTCTTCCACACACGTGTGAACTCCAACTCCCATATTGCATCTGGTTCTGATGTCACTATCACAAGCCAGTCATCTACCAATCATGAACAGTTACACAGATTCTCCTCCCCTGAGTTCTAATCGCACTCACCTGTTCTCATTAGTTCTGTTTGTATATATATACCTGTTCATTTTAGTCTCTCATTATGAAGTATTGTCAATTGCCCTGTCTTATGCATACTGAGCATTCTTTCTATTTTTGCCTCCTGTGTTTTTGACCCTTTTTTGGCCCTCGTTTACTGTTGGATTTTCCTTTGTACTTTGATGGTTTTGGTGTTTGCTCCTCCGTCTTTTGACTCTTGCTTGTTTGATCTCGGTTTACTTATGTATCTGTTTATTGCTCTATCGGTTCTGTCCTTTATCGTAAATAAAGCTCACTCATTTTACTTCCATGAGTGTCTGGTTTATCAGCCTAACATGACATATGCAAGAAAAAGTCAGTGTACCCTTTGGAATTATTTTGACTTGTATATGAATAATTCCTAAAACCTGATCATAAAACTCACAATGATAAATAAAATAAATACAGTACATTTTGGGTATTGCTTCTTAAATCAGAATTCTATTTGAGTGCAATGTGATTTCAGACCATCTTAGAAAAAAAGCTGTTAAAGCTCATAAGACTGGAAAGGGTTAAAAGGGGTTTTTGAAGACTTGGAAAGTCCATTCAGCCAGATCCAGCCAGCCGCTCTACCTAGGAATGGGCATCAAGCAAGATCAGTGCAAGGGTGTACCATAGAATCCTGTATAGTAGCTATGAACAGTTATTGAGAGTTTAAATGAGCTTATTGCCACTATAACATTTCTCGGCCTGGGATTGCAAGGCTTTTAGGTATTTCACCCTCTACCGTGCATAATATCAAAAAATTCAGGGAATTCAGTGCGTAAAGGGAAAAGCTGAAAACCATAGTTGTTTATGGAAATAATTGACATTGTGTTCTCTGGGCCAAAGAAGTAAAGGAGCATCCAGATTGTTACCAGCGTAAAGTTCAAAAGCCAAGCTCAATCATGGTACAGGGGTGTGTTGGTGGGAAACCTGCACATCTGTAAAAGCATTAATTCACCATTAATGCTGAGCATGTTTTGGAACAACATATGCCTTCCATATGCTATTTGTTTCAGGGACACCTATGCTTATAACAACATGACAACAGTAAGTCACTTCCTGCACGTTATAACATCATTGCTGCATAATCAAGGAGTGCGGGTGCAAGAATGGCTGCCTGTCTCCTAGTGAAAATGTGTGGTGCATTATGAACTGCAAAATATGACAATGCAGGCCCCATACAGTTGCACAGCTGAAAACTTGTATAACTAAAGAACGGCAAAAAATCTGCTTTTTAAAACTGGATTAATTGGTGCCTTTAGGCCTCAAATGTTTATTAAATGTTTTCAGAGGGGAAGGTAACATGGTGGTAAACATGCTTCCATTCCACTTTTTTGGAATTTGTTGCAGACATCAAATTTGGAATGAGCATATATTTACAAAAATCAAATAAATGAATAAGGTAAAATATAAAATATTGTGGTTTTCTACTGTTTTCAATGTAAGACAGTTCAAACAGAATTTAGTAATTAGTGCTTTCTGTTTTATTAGCATTTCATATACTGTCCCAACGTTTTTTTGGAGTTGGAGTTGTATTCTAACTTACATAAAGACTGGATATTTTAGAGCTCTTTTTATTAAATGTATTAAAGTGGATAATCTATATTTCAACCTCATAGTCATTCATAGTACAGAGCCAAAACAACAAGAACTGTGTCACTTTATAGTTATCTGCAGACTGCACAGTATAAATATTTTGTTCATGTTTAATGAGATTCATGTTTATATTTATGCGTCTTTGTTCACGATTATTTTTATGCTTATAAGACAATCTGTGTCAGTGGTCATGAAAGAATTCCCTGGCCCTGTATAAGTGCCAATGAATTTGTATGTGTGTGTGTGTGTGTGTGTGTGTGTGTGTGTGTGTGTGTGTGTGTGTGTGTGTGTGTGGCCTGGACCCTATGCTGTGTGTTGTCAGTGGCTGCTTTGCCTAATACGTCCATGATGCAGGTCCCAAGGGCACGTGCAGCAGTGCTAAGCTCATGGCTATTCTGGTGCTGTGGGTCTGCTAAGTGTTGATAGGATAGGATTAATGAGGCGGGCCTCTCATCAGTCCTAATTAGAAACAACACAAAAACTATTTTTGGGATCTGTTCCTATGGAGAGAATCTGACCGTCGCGAGAGTCATCCTCCCTCCATGCAGCACCCATTCTAACTCCCCTAAACCACAGACACAGAGTAGCACACAGGCCCACAGGCCTTGGGTAAATGTAACCCATATGACCAGCAGCAAAATGACACGGGGTCCAGCACCTGCCACTAAATAACTCATGGAAGATTCATTGGCTATGGCTTAGGTATGAGTGTCACTCCTTCAGCAACACATTCATGAACCTTAATCCTAATCATGTGGGATGTCCTGGCCGTCTCTGCTGCATTTCCTTTGACGATAACATACAGACAACAGGGAAAAAAAAACATCAAGAGCACCCACTAAGCATCCATTTCAGACAGAACCATAAGCCAAAGATGACCTCAGATCCTACTACCCTTAGTAAAAACAAAAATCCATTAAAACATTTTTGTTTGTTTATTTCCAAATCCCACATTAGAAAATTACAGTGTTTTCACCTTTATATTTAGGGAAAGGGCTTGGATAAATGGGAAAGGTAAATACTGTACCAGAGCAGATCATGCAAAAAGGTGTGGAAGGCCTCCATTACAATAGCACCTTTGTAGATGAAAAATAAACGCCGCTGTTTTATCATTCTTTTTTTCAGTCAGTGCAAAATTATGCCTAAATGATAACAACAGATGTAATCTAATGCATTGACAGAAAGTGACAAATACATATCTAACACATCTGACTACAGGCACATTACTATAGTACATATGTGTGCGAGTGTGATGAACATGACACATATCTTTTGCTCTTTTGTTCTGAGTCTTACAAACTCTTACAAATCTCAAATCAAGTTAACAGAGTACATAAACAAGCTGACAAAATCCAATGACACAGAATGTAAGTTACATCTTGCTTCAATAGAGGAATATGTTTTACAGAAAAGCTCAGAAGCTGTACAGTATATTGGAACATAATAAATGTGCTTTGCATATACCTATTATTAAGTTTATTAGCAATACAGTTCATTTTATAAGGGAGGTAAAAATTCCTTTGAAATCAAAAAAGGGAAGACAAAAATGAGTTACAGTGCTTTTCTATTCATTTCTGACAGTAGAACGAACCACCAAATAGCATCGCTTACTGTATGCATACCAATAACATCAACACAATCCTACGCTTAGTATGTCTCTTGTTTTATAACAACACAGTCCTACACGGGGCGTAACAATACACGTATTTTCGAGTTCTTTAAGATTTTTAATTTTGAGGTCAAAATTTGATTTTATTTTCAATATTTTAATTGTTATGAGCTCTAATTATACTGATCTGGCTCAGATTGGTTACAAAATTAGCCTGAAAACAAAATAAGCCTGAGAAGTCACAAACACTTTACTATGTTACAATACACCCAGATTATTAGTTTTGATCAGTGACAGTGGTTTCCACAAAAAAACAGTTACATGAGAGATCCAAGGGGCGCATCAGTGATACATCTTTTAAGTTTGATACAATGTTTCAAATGTTCTTTTTTGTCGATGCTGTATTGACATTGTCACACCCTTAGACCTATGTTTAATTACTATGCTTAGTATTAGAATATCTGTAATTTAAAGAATATGATCTTGTAATTATTGGGTAGTTTTGAAGATTATTTATAATAAACACTCACATTAAGCATTTCTCTGGTTAAACTCTATTCTCTTCAGAAATAATAACACTTTTGAAAAAGGGGGGGAGGATTTTCTATAGTTCAGTTTTCTTCCATTATAGTTCTGTCCTCAAAGGCCTCCCACACTCCACTGTTTTGTATTTTTTCTTCTCTAACACACGTGATGCAGTGCAAGGAGTACAAGGACATTAGCTAATGAGGTGACTCGGGTGCAGGAAAAACAAAAAACTGCAGTGCTGGTGGACTACTAGACTGGAGTTAGTAAACACTGTTACAGTTACAATTTCAGTTGAAATATTAGAGACTTAACTGTCTTCATATACAACTTTGTTTTGAATAAAAAGTTCAAAATGTGGATAGACATTAATATACATCGTATTGTGCTAGGTATATATCAGTGAAAGCAGTTAAATAGCTCTGAATAAACAGCTCTTCTGAAAATTACATAGTTACTGGGGAGAGAGAGAGTATAGTTGTGTATAGTTGAATTATAAAATGAAATATTCATAAAATCCCTCTTTTTCACAGAGGGAAGAGTTCGCACATGTCAAGAATAATAAAGTGTTCTCTTGTGCACTTTGCATTTAAATATAATGGACAAGGCCAAGATCTTACTTCACAGAACACCCGTACTTCCCAACTAAAGTAATTTCAAATGACTTATAACCATGTTTCTAGTGGTAAAAGCACACCATTTTGAATATTACTAACTAGTTTAAATCAACTGAACACAGTAGCACTGCAGAGATGCGGAAGGTGCTGTGTCCACTAAAAAACAGGATTAGCTAATTTCTTGTTAGCTCATTATATACTGAAGAAGTCCAAAAAATGTGCGTGATAAGTTAAGGCATCAATAGAGGCACTATTATCACTCTTGGGTGACAGCATTAGTTTATTGTGTGTGGAAAAGCTTGCTTAACTTAGTCTTAGAGATAAATGCCAAAAACAATATTTTGCATCCACTATTTAGCAATCATTTAAACTAATCTGTGTCCTTTATAGTAATCTTGTTTCATTTTTAGGCTGTTTACCCAGTATGAGGTCATGTCAGAGCATTTCAGTTGGCTCATGTTATAACACAGTAAGTCAGTGGAGCAGAAAAAAAGAGAGAATTATGTAATAACATACTGTTACCTTTAATTCTCTCTCTCTCTCTAGCACTCTCTTACACCCATACACACAAAGATGGAAAAGAAAAATAGATGAATTTTAAAATTGGGTGGACAATCAAGATGCATATGGTGTGTTAACACCCCCACGTAAAAAAAAAAATATATATATATATATATACGGGCCAAGCCCAAAATATTAATGGTTTTTGTTGATGGTTTTGGCCTGGTCAGATTTAAACCCTATAGAGAATATTTGGTGGAATACATTATACACAAAATAGCTATGGCAATGTTTTTCCACTGTTTGAAGCCATCAGTGCTGAGTGGAACAATACTGACTCTTCTTTCTGTAAAAAGTTGTCTGCAAGTTTACCCACAAGACATTTTAAAAAAGCAAAGGGAAAATCTATTTCATACTAAGTTACTTTATCTATTTTATTCTTGCTAATTTGTTGACCAGTGCTTTGTTGCTAAGACAATTAAAAGCTTAATATTTTGCCTTTTTGCGCTTTGCCCATTTTTTTTTCCACAGTACTGTACATAATCCAAAAGTACAATATATGGTTGCTAGCAATCAACAGTACAATAGGACTACACTTAAATGCTAATAAATATGCCTTGAATATTTTTTTTAAATAACTTGCTTTATGGGTACATGTCTGGGACCAGTAAAACAGAAATAATGATGATGATAAAATAAAGTGACTGGAACATAAGCACACACAGATTTGACAGCTTTCAGGAATTTATATCAAAAAATAAAATGACGTGATTTTAGTATGATACATGGGCATAACATTTCAGCTGACCTGAAATGAAAACAATGATAAACATATTATCAACCAAAAAATATATTAAATGTTTTAAATACACAGCTGCAAAAGTATTTGCCATCACCTATATATACAGATTAAGCCCCATTGCATTCCACTCAGAAATTATTGCACAGTATAGCCACTGAAGGCTCATCATGGTCAACTCCTGTATAAAAATAGAATAAGAACATAACACACCAAACAAGTCTTAATCTTTTCTGACAAGCAAAAGGCCAGGTTTTGCTTAGAACTTGACCAGCACCAGCAGCTGATAGACACAGTATAGGCATAGCACAGTGTTTCTCTCCAATCATAGAGAGGGTAGAACGTGCCAAAAACAAAAATGATTATGGAAAAAATAATGTTCATGCGTTTTCTTTGTGTACCAACATCCATGCTCAAGTACAAACATCTTGCTTCTTGAAGCTTGCATCCAACTAACAGACAGCCGTTCTACAGATATGAGCATTTTCCCCTACTCTCCATCATCCTCCATCTACAATGTTTTTAAGGGAGTCCTCTTGAAAAGAGGCCAATTTCTTTAATGGTAATGAAGCAAGACACAGGGCTTTGGAATCCAGGTGTGACCACTAGGTAAACCAAAAAGATTCTTCTAAACCCATCTTTAGCTTAAAAATGCTGTGAAGGAGAACACACTCCTAGCGCACAAACAAGCTTCCTACACTATGGTTTCCACTCCAATAAGCCTGGGGGTGAGTATGCGAGGAGTGATGCCATTATTGAGGTCCTCCTCAAACTCCAGAAGCTGGCCCATGAAGTTGAGGTTGGGCGAGATAATGGGGCGTCGCGTTTTGACAAACTTGTAGGCATCCGTCATGGTCATCCAAGTGTGTTTCATCAGGTATGCAATGACAATGGTGGCAGAGCGTGAAACACCAGCCTGGCAGTGAATGAGCAGCCCCTTGCCTGCCTGGTGAGCCTCCTCTGTTGCGACAGAAAACAACACAAAGCTTTAATGCACTTATCGCCAGAAACAAACAAAGCATGTTGTATTAGATAGATTATTTCTCTTGTAGCTCATTAAAAAAACTGAGAATTCTGTTGGGACGTCCAGATTCCAAACTTTTAATCAACACTGCATTTGTGTTCATAAGTAGAAAAGGAGGCACTGATTTGAATTTCAAAGTTGTTTTGCTGAAAGAAAAACAATCCTTTGCATTTGCCACGTTTTGTCATTTAACTAAACCTTGAATGTAAATGTAATTTAATGCAAAAATTATTGTGTAATTAATTATGTACTTATGCACTCATATGTGAATAGCATAGCAAAACAAAAATAATAAAAACTCTCGACTTTTAAGGGCTAACATTATTGTAGAAAGAAAAACAGATTATTTTATTTGGAGAGAATGTTTAATTTAAGTATAAAGGAAAACTAGGTAGATGACCTCTGTCATTATATTAGGCAATGTTGGGACGCTACAGCCCACACAGCCTCTAGGCTTTTAGACACAACACAGTCCTTTTTTATTCATTTTTTAAAACTCCACTTTTTTTAATTTTTGCACAGACACAATCCTGCAGGGATGAAAGCATCAAAAACTGACAAAATTGACAAAGATTACTGTGTTTAAAAGGAATTTAAAAACAATTAACACTGAAGTGATTAATCAATTCTGAGTGTACTGTACCTATAAATTCAAAGGCTTCTTCGAAGTACTGGCGCAGGTTCTGCTTGTTGCTGTCGGTGGCGGGTAAGCGCTTGTAATTGAAGAGGCCTAGGTCATAGTGGTAGAGTGGGAGGTGAGTGGTGACATTTAGGATGTAGCCAATGTTCATCCTCTGCATTTGGTCGAGGTCCTGTGCATCACGTTCATTGCCCAGGAACAGAAAGGGCAAGATGGGTGTTAGCTCTGCGTTCTCAATGTCAGGGGTAGAGGGCAAGGAGTGAGGTAGTGCCCCCGACAGGCCAACAGCAGCCCCAGCATCCTGGCCCTCCTGCAGGTGGAGGGAGTGCTCACATAGGTCTTCATGGCCCTGTCTGAAACTGCTGAGGCCTCCTGCAACACAAAGAATGTCTGTTAGGATTTGTAAGATCTGGGATGATGTTTCAATGGGGAGGTTAAATTTGAGAGATTTTTGTTTTATGGCAATTACCAATTAAGTAATATTTACTGGCCAATAAAACATTTTTCTGTTCAACAAGGATGAACTGTTTGTTGATACTTGAAAAAATGTGAAAAACCACTTAAAACAAAAAAATTAACAAAAATACTTCACCACTAAATTAAAAGACTAAGTCCTACTACAATTCCTTTTATAGTTCTAAAGTTATGCACGGCCTGTTCCATAAATATCGCACATGACTAAGCAGGTGGCTCCATAATAAGAGATACTGCAATACAGCATAAACAATATTATCATCTCTGAAATACTGCATTTACTGTTGTCACTGCATTTTAAAGTTGCACTTACACCAGAGAGTATCACATTGTGATCCCATATTTTAATTGAGGTTTACACAGCTGTATTTGTGTGTTACTGGTCTGAGCACTTTCACAGGTCACGGGTATAGGTTGCAATGCTATCTTTTCACACTCAATGTGCTATCTAGAAAACAATGGGTCTCCCACCTAGTGTGATAAAAAAAAAAAATGGGGAACCAAAGACATGACCAGAATACTGTTATTACACAAGGAGCCATCAGGAAGTTTTTTTTCCCCCAAAACCTCAAAATATATAACCACCAGCACAATATTGCTGTTAAAAATCTAACATGTATGTACATGTATTATCTTATAAATGTAGTGTTTTTTTCTAAACATAATACGATGTAAACTGCGAAAAAAGTTTAGGCAATTATAGTGGTATTAGAATTTGATTGAAATACTAAGATAATTACGAGAAACATTCTCATTTTTGAGACATAAAATAATTATGAGAAACTTTCTCATTTATGAATTGTATATCATAATTATGAGAAACCATCAGTCTGAGATATTCAGTAATATTTATGACAATGTAATTTATGACCAGTTATTATTACATATGGACTGGCAACCTGTCATGGATGTATCCTGCCTTCTGCCCAATGACAGCTGGGATAGGCTCCAGCACCCCCTGCGACCCAGAAGGATAAGCGGTTTAGATGATGTGTGTGTGTGTGTGTGAGTGTGTATTTTTACTTACTATTTTTTCAAATGGCAGAAATGAGATACTAAAATTTCCAGACTGAACAGTTACAGTAAATATAGTAAACATGATACGTCTTATGCTGACAGTCAGTGAGAATGAAAATGAACCTCATTCATCCATTTCATATTTGTGAACAATCTGAAACTGACTTTATCTGTCAGCTGTCAGGGCTATAGTTTATAAACACAGACCTCCGAATGTTGAAAATGGCACATAATTATAGGTTTGTCAGGCAAGCACGTAAAGCTACTCATCAGTGAAAATATGTAAAGGACAGTGATTTTTATATTGTTTATGAAGTGATGGCAATATCTCTCAGTATGTGTTGTTTTTAAGCCGTCCTTCATGGAGATGACTCAACTCACTACCCCAAAAATTTGCATTCATTTGAATTTCAGTTTGAATAGCATTCTATGTCAGGTAATGTAATTTGCATTCTAGATACTCAGATCTACAGAGACCACTCACCACATGGCAAATACTGTTTCACTTCTTCCACTTTTTTATTTTCAAGATGTCTATCCTAACTATGAAACCTTATGCATAGTTTATTTAAATAAAACGGGAAAGACAATCCAGCCAATATATACAAAAGATAACAAATTTTCAGATAACTGGTTTACTGGGTGATGTGCCTTAAATCAATCTTTATTCCACCAAGAAATGGTTAGTATTCTGTTTAAAAAAATATTCTGAAATTTTTTAAATCGCAATTATCGACCATATTGACAGCGATTTCCAAAGCCATGCCCACATGCTTTACATATTAAAAGACCAAGGTGTTTTACTCTGGAATTCAACCATAGATGCCTTTGGAAAAAATACAAAGTATCACATTTTCATAGTTTTCATAAACTTGAATCACCAAAACTCTAAAGCTATAAGAAAAATGCTGCAAATTTTCTCAGTTGATAAATCACACTTTGGGAAACCCACAGCAGAGACAGTGAAAGTGAATAAAACATTATGTGTACATATTAGGGGTTGCACAGACTCGTCGACTAGTCAGCTTGTCGAGTTTACTGCTTGGTGATCATGGTTTAAGCTTGATGTTGACTAGTCACTCATCATGTGGTTATGACACTAACAACATGGACCTTTCAGAGAAGACAACAGGTGAGGAGCCTAGTGATTTTGTGGTCTGTATCTGCAGTTCCCTGATGGCTAGCAATGTGACTGGGACTCGTTGGATAGGGCACGTCACACTCTACTGACCTTTAGAGTTTGGCTTCATTACAGATTTTTAAAGTGTGATTTTTAAAGTCTCCTGTTGCAAAGCATTCCCTTCTCCTGTGGTTTTTTCATGACATCATTAGCGATTAGTCGATGTCGACTTTTATCACATAACTGTCAACTTCAAAAAAATCTAACGTCATGCAACCCCTAGTACATATTACTTAATATCATTTAGCAAGCTCTTTAAGGTAAAATCAGTCCTAGTTTTCTGTCATCTTTTTCCCCTGACCCAGCAATTATTGCCTTCTAAGCATCTAAGCGAGTTACTTGTCAAACACTGTCGATATCCGATTACATCACTCTATTGCCCAGGCCAAGGTTTCTCTATTCCACTACTGTTTTATACTACATTTTAATTAGGGCTATATGATATATGTTTGACAAAGGTGTCAGATATCAGAATGCTGATGTGCAAGTACCGTTTTTTGGGTTTTTCTTTTTTGAATGTGTAAACAAATCTAACCTAAGTCCTAATTTAAGCAAAATAAAAAAAATTAAAATTCAAAATTACACATTTAAAAAATCATTACCTCACCAGCTTATAATTGTAATTTTTTTTAATTATAATTATAAACAAGTATATAAGATGTACATATATATTGAATCGATTCTTAGATGCATCGCGATGTGGAACGTGAACGATTCTGAATCGATTCACAAATGTCAAAAAACGATTTCCTAAATTTTTATTTATAACGTAATGTTGACGGAACGCAAAAGGCGGAACTTGGAAGTGCGGAACTGCTGCGCCCGGATAGTCTGTGACGTGCACATAACAAAAACACAACTGGATGAGCAAGAAATCCGACCGGCACCCTCTGCGTTAAAAGCTAGGTTAGGTCAAGAGTCGACAGCCCAAATGTTAAGAAGAGCCATTTTGTCCTTTCAACAAAAAACAAACCACTTCGGGAGCCACAACATTTCATGTCCAATATGTCTGAGTATGTGTTAATGTCCTAGTATAGGCTAAAAAATATAAACGAAAGACTTACTTTGCTCTGCTTTAAGCTTTAGCTGTAGCTGCTTTCTTCCCATCTCCCATCTTGTTTGAATTTTCCCGTTCCACCTTAAATTCTGACTGAGGCGCCGAATGTAAATACGGCACAATATAAAGTGGAACGGGAAAATTCTACAGAGAAGCTGACTTCAGCTTCGCAACTTTTTAGTGTTTGACAGTCTTTCGTTGCAGATTTAACGTACCAGGAAACCAACTACAGTGTTTATAAATGCGAATAAGTCAATTCGTCTCCAAATGTTTGTCTTAAATCTCTCTCTTTGCCTTTTTGTTAGCGACTAGCTAGGCGAGACTGCGTTGCTAGGTGACCTGCAGTCTGCACGCCAGTTCTCAGTTGTTGCGAAACAGGGCTTTCGTGCTATGTTGCACATGTCCCCACACAGCGATCCCCACTCTCTACAACAAGACTAAAACTGAAGTTATAAAATCACTAAAGAAAACGGGTAGGACAGCTGTAACGTGCTGCATGGACATCAATTGCCACAGGATCTTACATCACCCTAACAGCGCATTTTATTACAGATGAGTGGCAGCCAGTGTCTCATGTGCTCCAAACAAGAGCAGTGAATGAGAGCCTTCTAGTTCACTTGCCACATCATCGTATATATAATCGTATCGCAGCCCTCTGAATCGTAATCGAATTGAATCATGAGGTGCCTAGAGATTCCCACCCACACACACACACACACACACATATATATATATATATATATATATATATATATATATATATGTATATATATATATATAAATATGTGTGTGTGTGTGTGTGTGTGTGTGTGTGTGTGTGTGTGTGTGTATTTATATATATAAAATTAAATACGTTTGCTGTGACAGTAGCCATTACTGCCTCTTAAAACACTAACACAATACTGGATGAGAGAACAATCCCAATTTCTAATGCATTTTTACACACTTGTAGTTCAGGATGGAGGAGTTTTTGAGTTGAGCGATGTGTGTGATGTATGTTTTGTTTATTGCCTGTTTAGCCTAATGGTTAAGTTGCTTGTCCCATACACGAAAGAGCAGGATTCAATCCTAGTGCAGAGAAGCACTCATTAGGCTTCTAACGTGTTGTGTCAGCAATGTAATGACGTCTCTCTGGAGCTGAGTGTATGAGGGAATTTGATCTGTAATCGCAGCTTTTAATTAATTATGTGTTTATTGCAAAAACACGTCATGATAATGACGAAAATACAATTTATTGTGCAGCCCTAATTTTATTGTATTTTTACATTTTTCTAATTTACAGGTTTACAGATTAAGCAATCAGAAATTATTAACATAGGTTTGTCCATAATGTTATGCTAATGAAACGAATAACAAAATGATGAGAGCTCTCACTTTGTCATAAAACTTCACTTATGCATGCAGTGTGGCTACCACACAGGAAAAGCAGCAGAAAGCGAGTGACTTTTCCTAAACACAATCTGTGGAGTGTACATGTGTCATGACCACCCATAGTCATACCGAAGAAAGTACCAACTGGCTTTTGATTTCAGTTGCCCAACATGCTGTTAGCCCCTCAGCGGGGACATGAAAAGCTCACTGTCTCTGTTCACTCATACCTATGCCTATACATATAAATTATATCTATTATTATTATATCTATTACAATAATATCTATTAATATCCAATATCTATTGATATCCAATATCACTGATACCAGCATGTTTTCTCTCTAGTAAGGACTGACCTTATATTAAATGTAAATGTATCGGATGTTTCTTTAACTTTAAGGTTAGACAATCAAGCATATATACTCATTACAATTAGACCCTTGTTCTGTAAAAGATCACTGCATAAAAAAGTCTCATACTGCATTTGTTGTTTCTTTGGAGTAACAATAAAAGGTGACTGAAGGGTGATGTATATATTCCTATTGATATGTTTGCTCACTCATAATGGTAGTTTGTGAAACAAAAAAAATGTTTTGCTTTGTTAAATGTTCTTTACACAAAGTAGATGTGACAACAACATTGAGAAATTATGTTGTTAAAGGTGTAGGACAGATTAAAAGGAAGAAACAGATACTATTTGCCTTGTCGTTAAAGGTTTAACAGACAGAAAAGAAGGCAAGTGAGGAGATCTGTGAGAAGAGAGTAAAGGGACAGAACAGAAGGAGCCTGAAGAACAGAGCGTGTGTGTTTGCGCGTGAGTGAACACATGAAGGCCCTGACAGTGGTCTCGCAGTGTGTTGCTTGGCGAGCAGCAAACTGACAGACGCAAACGCCTCTCTACTCAGCATTCTCCACCCCAGCCAAATGTGAATAGGATGGCAGAGGATATGAGATGAGCAGCTTAATGCTAACGGGAGATCAATGTTTACAAACAGCTGCTGCTGAGGAACACTAGACTCAATACTCATCACTGTACACATCGCCTTCCTTCACCAGCAAGTGAAGTGCAACTGAACACAGTCCACTCTCCAGTCTCAGCCTGATGACATTCTCCTATACATGCACGCACAGTCAACCACCTAAAGGCTGTGAAAATTTTACCAACTGGCTAGGCAAACTTGGGCTGCAAATGCTCCATGTGTCTATGTAAGCCTTAAAAGCACAGCCTGTTCACTTAAAATTTCTCTAGTAGACCTTCTGAAAAATATAGAGCCACATGGGCCTTACATGATACAAACAAGCAAAACCGAACATACTCAATCACGACACATGGGCATTTAGACACTCCTTAAAAAAGAGCATGCTGGTGCTACCTAAACGAGCTGGCCTTTACTCAGGCAGACATTAAAGAAACCATCCAATATTTGATTTTTTTTCCAATTTGAAGATATTATCAGCACTTTGCTCAAAGCAGAAACAGCAGGTCAGCTCTTCACAAGCTGGAGCACAATCACTAGTTATAGTTGGACTACAATATATTCAAGATATTTAATTTATTATATTTTTTATAGTCTTTAAATACGGGTTTTACCAATTAGCAAAATTCATAATTTAGTTTAATGCAAGATGGTGTCTCAATTTCATATTTTTTCGGTACAATAAAAATAAAACGTTCCTAATTAATATTAATATTATTTCCAGTTATTAGAGTGCTCAACATCCTGAAAGCATTGGATTTTAAAACAATGTGCTAGCCGTGAGCTAACATAGTAGCCCCAAACTATATTATTAATTATTTATTAAATTATACATTTTATTATATTCTTATATTCACTTATAAGTGCTTTTCCCCCCTGCTCTCAATTTTGAAGTGGAGCCAGTATTTTCAGAGGAGAGAAGGCCCGTACTCATTGTGGGCTTGCTTGTTTTATTTTTATTACACTTCATGCAGTATAATCATTTTAAAACTAGCACTTTATTTGCTCCAGTCTAAGTCTGTTGTATGTATAATACTGAATTCAGAGGCTTGTACTGAACGATATGACATGTATTGTTATACTACTAGTTTTTTTAAGCTGAGAAGAACACCAGGCGTCACAATCATGAAATTTCAGATGACAATTAGTTGCCATATCAATAACTGAAAATAACAGTAATTGTCTTTTTTGTTCAGTACTGTATGCTGTTAAAGTACATGCCTAAAGTTGACAAATTGGCTGATTAGTTATCTTGCTTCCTAGCTGTACTTCTCCCCAACTGACGACACACACAGCTTGAGCTCAAATAAACATGCAATACTCACCACTGCCCACTAAAGGTGTTATAGTGCCAGAAATTCGAATTTTTGTTATCGTAAAACCCATAACATATCTCAATAAGTGCATTTTCTGCTTTCTTTTATTACATGCATTTGCCCCAACCAAAATGCTGAAAACGCCCTTACTTTGCATGCAGTTTGTTTTGATGTAAACATATGACTATGAAAAGATAATTGTGGAACTGTGGAAGACAACTTTGATCATCTCAAATGATTGTGATCAGGCAATTATGTAGTAACTGTGACAGGTCTATGAACACCTCAAGGCAACATCAGAATTCTAGTACCTATTGGAATGGAAACAACTCTTATGAACAAAAGTAAAATTAACAAATGTATGTAATAGCAAACGCGAAACAGATTGTTCCAACTTTGCTTTAAAGAAGACCCAGCCAACTGTTTCTATATATTTTGAATTCATAAACTTCACATGGCATCCAAAACGGCAAAAAGTGACAAATGAATTCAAACCGTTCTGGCTGAGCAGGAACATGCTCAAGCCGATATCAGCAGAAAATAATGGATTGAATATCAGAGGAAAACAGAGCAAATCCGATCTAATTCTATAACAAATAAAGCCTGAAATATCAAAGAATTGCTTGTAGCACAACAGAACCAAAAACAAGGTAGGCCACATGAAAATAACACTGGCAACATGTAGCCTAACATAAAAACAAGTAGCTAGCCAAGTTTCATAAAAGAATTACAGTTCCTGTATTTACAGTGTAGTTTTGCACACATTGGCACTGTAAAGTGATATTTTTTGTAAAAGAAATTAACTAAATTTAAAAATGTTCCTGTGGCCTATGTATTTTGTCCTGTAGAGCAGTAGAGTTTTGTGTGCTGGACTTTTAGATGCCCATCAATTTAAAAAAAGTTTGTTTTAAAAGTTAGTCTGTGTACAAAATAGCAGATCGGTATCAGTTAATACTCAGGGTTGTGTATCAGTATCAGTATGAGATGGTATTGTGTGTTCTTTAGGAGGAACAAGTGTTAACTGCCAATATGCTGAATTGTCCCTATAACTGCACCCCCCACCCCCTCCCCTAGCAAATAAAACTTTGTACTGAAAATAGCCCACCTCTCAGAACAATCGGATCCTTTCCCTCCCTACGCAGAGACTCCAGGACTACATGCAGGGGTTGGGAAAGCGACAGCCGGCCCGGGTCTACCGTGCTCTCATCGTAAACAACTATCTCTTTGGAAAAAATCCCCCTGAAGGAGTCTTTACTCTGGCGGCAAGAGATGAGGTCCAGCACAGTGATCTTGCCCTGCTGGAGGCGTCGACGGCTGATTTTGTCCGAGCAGTTGATGTGAACGGCACCTCGGATGTGACTCTTGTTGTAGTCCATAAATGGCCTGCAGTCGATGATCACCGGCACAGGTCCCACTAGATGGCCCATGGGGCAATGCGTCATCTTTTGAGCCAGTTCGTTTGGGTGAATGATCCGTACACTTCCTCTGGGGGGGCTAGAGGTGAGACTTGGGGCACTGTAGGTTTCACTTGGCCCCACCACAGGCATGGAGACACCACTGGGCCCACCATAGCTGACTGCAGAGCTCAAGTTAGGGCTGCTTGTGCTGACCTGACTCAGCGTCTGGGTCTGGGTTTGTGAGTCTTTCTCGTATGTAGTCACCGTGCAACAGCTGGCACTGCTGCATCCACACGTCAAGGAGCGCGTGGAGCCACTGGATGAGGGCATATACGTGAGGTTAGTTGCCTGAATCTTCACCACGGTGGTGCTGCTGATCACCGTCGTCTTGGCGACGGCACCCACGGTGGCTTCCAGGTAGCTGGTGTCCAGGCGGAGATGGAGTTCCTGAGGTCGGACAGGCCTTGGCAGCGCCACCACAATTCTGTCGTCGAGGGGAGATGGAGGCATGGGGAGACCACAGAGGAGGGCTCGCTGACCGCAGAAAACTCAGGTACTCAGTCTCTGGTATGAGGCAAAAAAGTGTGGCAATTAAAAGTTGAAAAGTAAGTGGTGTGGAAATAAATAGCTGCTGTGGTCTGAACTTACATCAAAACTAGTGCAGTTTTGCACATTTGACCAGTCCTATGGAAAAGATACTATAAATATGCATCATAAGGCACTGCAGTTGAGTCAACGTCTGCCATTTCCTTTACGGGTGTACTGATTACTCCCTTCATACTACAAGCGATTTTTCAGCTGTGACAAATGTAACGCTCTCCTCATTCACTACGTATTGAAGAACTGCTCAGGCTGAGCTGCGGTGCTGCGCTGAAAACCAACACAGCCCTCTACCAAACGCAGCATGTGGACGTGCTGAGAATATAATACCGTCTTGCATCTTTACACATCGCCATTAATGACTTGGATAGTGAGGAAAAAAGTAACATATTAAGCGGATTTTGTATACAATCCACTTGTCAATTCACAAACGAGCGCGCCCATCAATAAAAAGTTGTCTATTGAGCAGGCGTTCCCTAACTCCTTCTGTGTGTAATAGTGTGTAATATTTTCTATTCGTATAGTAAAATGGTAGAGCTACTTAATGAGTAACGTGAGATATCAGACACGGTAATAAAAAATCACATATACTTCTCAGCCTATTTCCGAAACAGGCAATATTCGAGGGGTGGGACTATACAACAGATGTGCTTGAATACTCAGCGTGGCTACTGTTACCTACACTACTGTCCAATGGCTACTTCCTCGCCCCTCAGCTCTGACACGAAAAAAAAGCGAAATACAGAATATCAAACTTACCTTTGGCGTTTATGTGCGTAGGCTGAAGTCTCCTCAGTCGATGTCCAGGGGGATGTGTCTTCGAAATTTCACTTGACAGACCGTTTAGCCAGCCCCTGTACCTTAGCTCCTCGACATTTTCACTTTCTGCCTCGCTCTAACTGATACGATATTGTGTGAGTTAGCCCTGCCCGCTAAAGTGGCACGACAGAGTGACACTGAAACGAGCCAATCAGTTTACTCGGTAAGGTGAGGAACCGTAGACATCAAAACCAACCCAGAAAAAGAAGGGGGAGGGGGCGAACGAGTGTAAAGTCAGCTTTCTGAGTGCTGTTCACTGAACAATGCTGAGGGTCCCGTGTATTGAGGCTGAGGGTGATGTCATTGACAACCAATCAAAATGCTCTTTGGTCAAACCAGGAAAGAGGAACGCAAGCATTAACCCACAGTTGCAAAGAAAAAAAAGAGGGGGGCGGTCGGCGTTGAGGGGGTCATAGCAAAAAATAGACAAGACTTTCCAGTTTGTTTTCCCAGAACAACTAAAATCTATTCAGGTCGTCTATTTGCTGCGAGGAAACGGGGCCTGGTCTGGATTCAGCAGCCTATAAGAATCCCACTGAATTCAAAGCAAAACAAGTCTGTGATCAGATCAGCAATAAATAAGGTCAGAGAATGAGCACTGGACTGAGCTGTGCTTTGGATCGGCCTATTGCCCTCGATACTATAAATATATTATCTGAAATATGAGTGAAGCACATCAGTGAGTGGTTTTAATGGATGGAAAGTGAGAACAGACCACCATGTGACTATAACACACATTTGCTTTATTCATGGGTTGTGACATGTTCGCCTAGGTGGATCATAATTTCCATCATAAAAATATACAAAACAATCACACATTAAACCAACTGTTACACTGGATCAGTCTATACCTCAGTTATTCCGTGAAGTTTCAGAGCTGCACGTCTTCCCTGCTGTAGGCCTAACATACCAAAAAAGCACAAAAACACCAGGATTACGATTGACAATAACTAATACTTGTAAATTAGCCTTTCTCTTGCTTTCTATTGAAAATCATTTTTAACATATAGACCAAAAGTACAGGCTCTAGGAGACTGCAAAAAGGTGGTTAAAGTGTTCTCAGAATGTAGCTTACGACAAACGAATATAACTTCTAGGAATATAGTTGTAACATTTTGACTTTGGGTACACTTTTTCTTTTAAAAATCAAGAAAAATCTACATGAATGTGTGCATGGAAAAAGTGACATCATGTGGCATGGCATTTACAACCCACGATACAGGGGAAGTTAAAACCACTTCCTTTTTTGCAACTTGGAGTGTACTTAGACACTAAATCATGCTTTTACGGAATAATTAGTGAACCCACTTAAGCCAGTAAAAGTAAATCCTTTGGTAAGGTTTAGTTATGGTATCTATAATTAAGGGGAATAAGTTGTAAAAATAGTGCTGACTGACAGGTAGTGAGTAACCGATAACTGTGTTTAGATCAACAGGCAAATTTCTATGGAGTTAATTTTGTGTCAATTTGAGTCAAAGTTTCAAATAAAATAATAAAATCCACAAGCAAAACATTAAGCATCAAAATGTCCAAAATATGTTGCAAATACAAATAATGACAAAAAGATTACTACTCATTTTCATTCATTTTGGTATAAATTTATTACTCATTTTGCCAGCCTATTTGCTGATTTTGCCAATATAGTTTTTGCTTCTGGAAGAGCTCTTTTGCTCCTGAATTTTCATTTCCTTTTCACTTTTGGCAGTTTTTTAGCAGGGGGTGGATCTTAGAAGAGGGTGTTCACTTCCACTCTCTATTGGTCAACTGATTTTGAGTGAGAGGTCTTCTGAACATGTGGCCATGCCCACTCTAAGAGCTGTAATCTGCCTCAAACACTGTATTGAGTGTAGTATTACCAGAGATGATTGCACTGGCCTGTCCTCCCTTATGAGCAGTGTTTGTCATATTCATTAATGCAGCACACGCTCAGGATCCTGTGTCACTCTGTTATATATATTTTGGAAACTGAAGTATTTTAGGTTAACATAGCTGATGAACTAATCTGTTTCATCTTTTGGGTTTACAGTTGCTAGCGCTAAGTAGCCTAGCAGTGTCCACTTCAGGGCGAACTAGGCGAGTTTTGCAGCAGTCAAATCAGTGTTTCTTAATCCTGCTTCTGGCAACCTACAGCTCCACATGATCTCAACTATTCCTTACTTTAAAACTCCTGATCTAGCTCATCAACTGATTATCAAGCCCCTCATGAGCTGAATTAGGTGCGTTGGGTCAGGAAATCACTGAAGGATTTGACTGAATCCACGTTGCTGTGGGTCAAGGTAAATAAAGTAGTAGCACTGGCTAAATACAGTGAAGAGTGGAAAATACCACTGATTACTGCCAGGAATGACGTACTGCCCAATGACTGTAAAAAATATGAATAACATGGCTCATGCCCTTCTGTTCTATAGAAATGAAGTCAGAGCTGGTTTAAGAGGAGCCTGGCCTCTTCCTACTTCCCCCGTTATATCAAAAACAGAGCAGCAAAACACCAGAGGGCGCCCACGAACGAGTCCTCAATGAATGGGGGTGAATGTAGCAAAATGGCTAAAAATGAAAAGTTAAAATAGTTTCCAATCACTCGCCCAGAATTTTCCTTAAATTTTAGAAAGTAGAAGGATGTACTTTGTACAGCTCAATGGCTGCTCACACTCACTGATGTCATAACTGTACACAAGGCTCCATTTTAAACGCCTATAACTGGAGTTCAAAAGCGCTCAAAATTAATAAAGAGTGGTGTTGAAATGTTTTATGCTGTTCTGTGTTCAGGAAATAAATGTATTATTTTATAACAAATGTTTTTATAAACTATAATTTTGCTATGTTCCATCTTAGCCCATTCATTTTGGACTCTTTTGAGAGTGCCCTCTAGCGTTTGAGAAACCCAGAACACATTACAGAGTGGTAACAGAGCCAGTTTAGCCTATTTCCCCGATATATCAAAAACATGACTGCAGAACGCTAGACGGTGCCCACGAGTCCTCAATGAATGAGGGTAAATGGAGGTAAATGGCTAAAAATGAAAGGTTAAAATAGTTTCTAATCACTTGCCCAGAATTTCCCTTTAATTTTTAGAAAGTAGAAGGATGTATTTCACTGAAATAGCAAAGAAAATTTACCTGTATGTTTCCTTTTTTCTACAGCAAACGGGTTTTGGGCAGCAGATGCTAGCATTACTGCTCACCTCTGACTGGATGGCGAGCTGGCTGTTCTTGGTCACTAACTTCACTAACTTCATAAACATGTTTAAACTTTGGGAAAAACTTTTGGTTTTTTGGGGGGGTTCTGGAGCCTATCCCAGCTGTCATTGGGTGTAAAGCAGGATACACCCTGGACACGTGGTATGCTTATAAATAATAGATATAACTTGAAAAAAATGAAATAAGTGAAAATTGATTTGCTCTTTCTTGTTTGAGATGTGCAGCATACTTGTGCTTCTTTTTCTGTGCAATAAAATGTGTTGATCCAGAAGTACATGTTTGCAAGTCTATTCACAATAGAACACAGAACACATATCAGATGTTGAAAGTGAGACATTTTTGCATTTCATGAAAAACATTAACTCATTTAGAACTTGATGGCAGCAACGAATCTCAAAAAAGTTGAGACAGGGCCGTGTCTATCATTGTGTAGCCTCCCCTCTTCTTTTAACATCAGTCTGTAAACGTCTGGGAAGTGAGGAGACCAATTGCTGGAGTTTTGGGAGAGGAATGTTGTCCCATTCTTGTCTGATGTAGGATTCTAGCTGCTCAACAGTCCTGGGTCTTCTTTGCCGGATTTTTCATTTCATGATGTGCCAAAGGTTTTCTGTCGGTGAAAGGTCTGGACTGCAGGCAGGCCAGTTCGGCACCCGGACTCATGCTGTTGTGATGAATGCACTATGTGGTTTAGCATTGTCTTGTTGAAATACGCAAGACCTTCCCAGAAAGAGATGCTGTCTGGATTTCGTTCAGCATTTATGGTGCCTTCACAAATGTGCAAGAAACCCATACCATGTGCACTAATGCACCCCTATACCATCATGGGTGCCGGCTTTTGAATTGTGTGCTAATAACAAGAGGTCTTTAGCCTGGAGGACAGTGTCCATAATTTCCAAAAAGAATTTCAAATTTTGATTCATTAGAACACAGGACACTTTTCCACTTCCCCTTAGTCCATTTTAAATGAGCTTTGGCCCAGAGAAGACAGCGGCGTTTCTGAATCGTACATGACATATGGCATCTTCTTTGCATGATACAGCTTTAACTTGCATTTGTGGATTGTACAGCGAACTGTTTTCACAGACAATGATTTCTGGAAGCGTTCCTGAGCCCATGCAGTGATTTCCACTACAGAATCTTGTCTGTTTTTAATGCAGTGCCACCTGAGTGCCCAAAGATCACAGCCAGCCAATATTAGTTTTAGGCTTTGTTCTTTGCATACAGAGATTTCTCCAGATTCTCTTAATCTTTTAATGATACTGTGTGCCGTAGATGATGAAAAGCAAAAGTTATTTTCTATTTTACGTTGAGAAACAATATTCTTGAATTCTTGCATTATTTTATTGTGCAGTCTTTCACAAAGTGGTGAACCCCTCCCCATCTTTACTTCTGAAAGACTCTCTCTCTGGGAGGCTCTTTTAATACCCAATCATGTTACTGACCTGTTGCCGAATAACCACCAGGTGTGTTTTTTAGCATTACACAACTTTTCCAGCTTTTTGTTGCCCCTGTCCCAACTTTTTTGAGATGCGTTGCTGCCATCAAGTTCTAAATGAGTTAATGTTTTTCATGAAATGGTAAAATGTCTGATATGTGATCTACGTTGTACTGTGAATAAAATATGGTCCTACAAAATTTGTAAATCATTACATTCTATTTTTATTTACATTTTACACCGTTTCCCAACTTTTGTGGAATTGGGGTTGTAAATTTATAACAGAATGAGTGAAAATGAGTGAAAATGAGTGAAAATTAGTAGAAATCTTTTTGATTATTTGTATTTGCAACAAATTTTGGACATTTTAATACTCAATATTTCGCTTGTGGATTTTTTCATTTTATTTTTACTCATTTTAACTCCATATATCTCTCTTCCTCCACATCCCCTGCTATATGATTTGCATCTGATCTGGCTTAGAAGTATACTGCAGAAGGGACACCAGCACCTTGAACCAGAAGTTTGAATTACTGATTAAAACCACATTTGTGTACTGGCTCAGTTCAACAAACTACTGAAACTTGTCTAATTGTCAAACAAATCCAAGTAGGTAAAAAAGCGTTTACCGTCAGTTAAAATGTAGCTTAAGACAGCAAACTACAGCCCATTTATCCACTGTAAGACTCAAGTGTCATGCAAGAAGATTTTCAATTTGGGAGTGAGTGCAAGGCATCAGTGTTAATACAAACGCAAATGTCATATATCAACATGTGAAACCACTACGACAGTCCTGCTGCGACAAATAAAATTGAATTTGTTTGGATTTGTCTGAAACATACAGTTTACATTTACCATGTTTAAAAGGTTGGGTTGTTCGAAATTGGCAGAAAGCCTAACAAGACAGAAATAATTGTGAAAACGGCATCACAGTTAGACATTTATGAAACTAAAACTATGCAGCTAATAACACAAATTATTGGATGTGTCAATCAGGCTCTAACTGTAAAGGAGACCAGTTTGCATTATCATGCAACCTGCCAAATAAACACTGCTAATTTATCAAAAGGGTAATCTTAATCACTGATTTTCTTAAGTGATTAATCAAGTACACAATTTTTTAAAATGTCTGCTTAATTCAATCATTGAGATGTAAAGTCATTCAGAGAAGACTGATGTGAAATTGTGCACTGTAGAGACACCACACAGATGTTTGTGATGCAATGGTGATGATGGGAACCAAGTATTGTGATGTACAATTAAAAATTACAATTACAATTTTTTTAATCTGAATCATCTAATGAACCTACATATTTCTGAGTTTTTTTGTAATGTAATTTTGATCGTTAACATAGTAGTATATCCAAAAGCTTCACTTTCTGTGAAGAGGCTTTCAGAGGCTTTAAACACTTTGGCTGCCTGGTTTCTTTCACCTCATCTCTGAACAATACTGACTCAATGAGTTTCTCTAGAACACCACATTTCACATCAAACCATTAGGAGTGACTTTGTTTACATCTTAAAGTTTGTGTTATGCAGGATTTTTGAAAAAACAGCAGAATTACACATTAGAATACATGTACAGTATCTTCATATTTATATTTGGGATATTTTAATAGTGCTAGACAACAACTATCACTAGTAAAAACCCTACCAAATACATGATCACCGAATTCTCCCTATGAACAGAGGCTGGCATTCCCACAGTAGCAAACCATTTGTAAATATGCATGTAGTGTTAATCTCAAAGGTTTATGCCATTACAAGCTCTTCATTGATATCCACCCCCATTGCACACAGCACACTCCGCACACGTTTATTAAAATGTGGCTGAATAAACCACAACTGGTGCAATTCCATGATAATGCCACACACAAAGACAAAACAGTGGCAAGAATGAAATTTCTCATTACCATTTCTGAAAAAATTACCATCTTTAAATGAGTACACACAGCATACATCTGATATTGATATTTGTCCACAGCTAATATTTGATTGTTTAGGACCCACATCATAGATGCTAACCTCTTATCAACAAAAGACATATTTTGACCTTCAAGTACATTAGACAGTTTTAAACTTAAGTGAAATGTCCACTGTAATGTAGAGTCATTAAAAGGGAGCAGAGGCCCAAAAGTGGGAGAATTGACAACATGACAGCTCCTCAGGGGCAAAGCAAATAAAACTCTTTTGTTCTTTCCAAATTCTCAAGACTATTAATCATAAAAAATCTAGGTTCTATTTTAGCAAAGATATCTTGACTTCAGCATCAGTTTAATTTCAGCCAAGACTTTCCTTGATCACTGGGGTATCACAACATGATGCCCTGATAGTACGGGTGCAATGACTGACTGATCCATGGTAAAATAATAAATGCTATTACTAGAGCAGATTTATTCACAAGTTTTCTATTCTTTGTGTAGAATTTAAGTTGACTAAATACATCAGTACATACAAAATTTAATCAAGAGCTCAATTGCATATTTTTGGAGCACAAAGTTGAAAATTACAGTTCTTTCAGATTTATTAAAGTAATGCAAGCATTGTCTGGTTCACTTAAATTATGGGCCCTTACAAAACAGCAGTACTTTAAACATTGTTTTAATGAATAAGACAAGTGGTGTAATCTCTGTCACATACATTTTTGGAATCCACTTCTGTGGAAAAAAAAATACATATAAAACATGAGCACACTCTAGTGGCCATATTCTGGCCAAATCAATTGTATACAATGCAGAATATCAAAAAATACCAGCTACTAGGTTTCTGAGCTTCCCATTGGGAAATACTCATCAATATTTTATAACTCCTGTTAAATGTCGCAAACGTAACTAACACTTAATCATGAGCTGAAACAAACATCCTTTTTCTTCTTTTCCTTTTCTTTTCGCTGTCTTCCTGGTGGAAAATCCCCAAAACTTGAGAAGTGAATTTATTGTAGCCTCTTTCTAAGATGGAAAGGGTTCCACAGTTAGTCAAAAAGATGATTTAAACATAAATAAAACAAACAAGACATACATGCAGGTACATGCAAGTGCAAAACATTTAAATAAAAATTAAAAAGTAGATTTTATATACATTTTTAGCTAGATCAGAGATTCTCAAACTAGTCTTTAAGATTCCCTCAACATTCCACATTTTTTAAGTGTCCCAGCTCTCAAAACACATGAAGTAGGTCATTAAAAACCTGGTAAAGGTGTGTTGGGTACTACACAAAAACTTGGACCAGCTGAGGGGCCCTGAGGCCTAGTTTGAGAACCACTGATCTACAGTAATATTTCCACTTTAATTTTCATGTCTATGTTTAAAGTGAAAGGACATAACTTCAAAACAATACCAATGCTTCACTTAAACTGCAGCACCGGTAAAAACGAAACTACACATGACTAGTGAAACTACCTAACAGTAACTGACATGCGCACCTGCCAGAATTTTAGGTGATTTATTTAAGAAAAGGTTGCAATTGACCAAGTAATGCAAAAGCAGTGATCATACTTACTGTGTTCACCAAAAATTTTGGACACTTTGGCTTTGACAAACAAAAGTTTTGCATTCTCTTCAGAATCCTTCTTGCCATGGCAGTTCCTATAATGCATAGTCAGCCAAAGATCTCTCCTTTTTTCCCATTCTTTGTCTATAAGATGCTTGAGACCGCTAAAAAAAATAAGTGAAAAAATGTGTAACAAACAATTTAAAAAAATACATGACAAAATTTGGTGCATCAGTCATGTGATGCAATGTTTGTGTTAAAATACATATTTCTGTTGAAAAATATTTTCCTTTGAATTTCAGCAACCACGCAATTGACACATTAGTCTTTAATTCACCTGTCTTTAAAATGTGAAATAACTAGCACTCTCAAAAATGATCATCGAAAAAACAATGTTTATTAACATCTGAAATGTTCAAAAATGTTCAAATAAGTTTCCAATGTTCTATTTCCCAAATAACACAGAGCCCACATAAGCTACAGCTATTTTTTATGTCATGTTAAATAAAAAAATAAAAAAAAAAAACAAGATCTATAATCACATCACCCAATATATTACATTGCTTATCCTTACTTTTTTTTGAGGACCGTCATAACCTTCAGTAAACAGTTCCATGCATTCAGATCATACTTCCAGCTGGGATAGTCAAGGAGATTCATAGCAATAGTAAGACAGTCCTGCATATCTTCCTCCACTTCTGTTAGAAGAATAATAGGATCAGAATAGTGCCATTTTACTCAACCAACCTGTCATCAATACTCCTCTAGCTTCTGCAGGATGAACCTAGAACACCTATTTTAATTCCAAACAGTAAGTTGTTAATGAGGTAATTTTAAATTATGTCAAAGAACAAGCCAGATATTTTACATTTACCTGACTTCAGTAGCAGAGAGCAGTATTCCAGCATCAGCTCATGACTGGGGACTAAACAGTGCAGCACCTAAAAGAATTATTTAAGTGAAATATTGCATTGAACTACATGAATCTTCAAAGGCATTTATAGGCTACTCTAAAAATAAAAACTAACAGAAAAGAAACAGTTAAGCATAATATGCTGTACCTTCAGAGTACTGATAAGTTTGGCTGGTGGTGCTTTATGCCTCTTAAGAAACTGGTACAGGTAGACATGAGCATTGGGATTTGATGGGTAATCCTTGTTGTATGCATAGTTCTGCAGTACTTTTAGGGCTCCTTCCTGGTCATTGTAGAATTCTAGCATCTGTCAGTGACATCAAAAAGTTAGCAGATTTAACTTCAGTCATATTAACATAAGCTTCAGGTCAGATCAAATGCATCAGAACTTAAACTCACATCAACATAACTCAATACAAAAGGGTCCCAAACTCCAGGCTGTGTGATAATTTCCTGCAGGGTCACTGAAGCTTGTCGGAAGTAGCTGTGCATCTCTCGGCTTGTGTTAGCATCTGGAACAACAGATATAGGACTACTTACAACATTTATTTCCAAGAAGTGCATCTCACAATCTAGCTGAGAGGTGTGGCATGCTCACACAAAAACAGAATAAGAAAGAACTAGAAGTATCATGATATTAAATTTTTTGCTAAATAGTCACAATGTCAAGAAATTTGGGGGACTGCATAAGAAGCTATAAAGTTTTGTGTTCTTTGATCAAGACTCTTACAGTAATTCTAGTTAAAAAGTCAGAAAAATCAAACGATAAAGCTGAAATTCTCTTAAAATAAGACAGTGAAAGTGCAATATTGTCAAATAAATTTAACACTGAGATTTATCAACTGTTTGTCAAGTTGCCCTAAAACTGCCCTCGTCTAGCTCAACCTGGCATCACAACCTAAATTATTTTGTTTGGCTGCAGTCACATTTGTTTGCACGTCTATGTTGGTTGCCATGGTAATGACGTGTACATGCATTTGCTGACCAGGTAGGGGAAAAAAAAAAAAACTTGGCTAACCTAATGACGATAAGTAGCTAAAGGAACAATCACGCTATACTGAACAACAACTTCCACTTTTTATATATTTTTTAAGTACAGCAATGAACAGAACATAGCAACAGTGTAGGCTGAACTGGTCATCAGACTGCTAACAAGCTATATACTGTACCAGTAATTTAAGAGACAGGCTTTCTACGTTCAGATCTTTTAAGGAAGCAGTCTCTGTAAATTGTGAACATACAAAGCTTAGAGCTTTGTACAAAGCTTCAGTTAGTCCAGAACGCTGCAGCCAGAGTTCTCACCAAAACCAGGAAATTCGACCACATTAGCCCAATTTTGTGTACCTTACATTGGTTGCCAGTTAAATTCCGCATTGAGTACAAAATTCTTCTACTGACATATAAAGCTCTGAATGGCCTTGCTCCTCAGTACCTCAGTGACCTTATTTCCTATTATCAACCGACATGCCCACTTAGATCACAAGGTGCTGCTCATTATTAGTACCCAGAATAAATAAAGTTACGTCAGGGGGAAGAGCCTTTTCATACAAAGCCCCCCAGCTTTGGAACAGCCTACCAGTCTGTGTTCGAGACTCAGACACAGCCTCTATCTTTAAGTCTAGGCTAAAAACTTACCTGTTTAGTCGAGCCTTTGGTTAATTTGTTTTTCTAACTAACTATGTCCCTTTCTCAAAAAAGAAAACATGGAAAAAATCCGATCTCACTGGTCAAACTAAAGCACACATCCAGGAATCTCATTGGAAACAGTGTCCATGAGCTGTCCTGCTCATATCAGTACGCTGAAAAATCGCTTTGCGCTGTGTTTTTGAACAAGGCCTAACTGATCAGTGGGAATACATCTGACCAATTTGAATGCTGCGTCAAAAGTGAGCAGAGAGGTTTAAGGATATGAGTTGCATCTTACCTGAGCTGGTCCCAGATGACTTCTTTGTGCACCAGATGAAGTAATCTAGAAAACCGCAGTATGCGTGGATGAGCTTCAACTCCATAGACTGACTCGCAGACTGCTTGCCATACCTCCAACTCGCTGCTACTGACAGCTGACGTTTGGCATCATTAAAGTTGCCATTCAACAGAAGATGAAAAGAGTGCTCCAAACATATCTAGTAACACAGAACTATACATATTTTTTTTTTGCATGACAAAGTGAGCAGAGGCATATAACACAGAAATAGAAAACTGATTCTAATTGAGTTTAATCAAGTTCAGTGACTTAAATCTACACACAAATTTGATTGTTTCCATGCACAGGGAGTATCATTTTTAGTATTTGTACTTTGCTAGATTATTTTAAGTTTTGGAGACATGCAAAAATATAAATATCATACCTTTGCGTAATTTTTCACTCCAGAGTTTTTCATCCGCTCATACAAAGCATTGAAATCTTCCAGTCGGGAATTTGGATGATGCTGAAGGACCTCAGTGCCTAGTCTCCAAATAATCTGGGTAGAAATGGTTGAAATCATTAAAGTACACTCAGTGACTAAGCACAAACTAAACTACATTATTAAATGTATAGTTCCGGTCCTAAATTCTGATGGCTGAGCTGCGTTTGAAGTCGTTGTAAAACACGTGATATATGCATAAAGACCACCTCACAGCAACTGAACTCTGTATTACTGCGTCCCATCACAAAAAAAAATCCTAGTGCGGTTAAAGGAATAATCTTTGAGGGTAATGCTGTTCATGTGGACAACCGAGTATATGAAGTAAGGACCCTTTTTTTTTTTATTAATCAATCAGCCTTTATTTTCACTCGAAAATACATTGACAGTATCCTCATTTTCAATGTAGCCAAGCATTTACAACATTAAAGGGACTAAAAAAAGAAATTAAAATGGTCTTTAATTAGGTTAAACTAAAATGAACAAAACTACATAAACAAATGAACAGAAAAAACAAGATAAATGGCAAAAGAAATAAGAGAACAATTAAGATTTGATTATGAAAGAGAAATATGGAATAGAACAAAGATAATAAACCAGTTAATAAGATTTTAATGTAAATGAATAAATAGGCAAAATAAGAATTAACAGTCAAGCGCAAAGATTATAAAAGGTAACAAAAACAAATAAATAATAGCAATAAAACAGAGATAAAATAAAATGAAACAAAATACAATAAGATTATTGAGGAAAAGTTAATAAAAATAATATAATAAAATTAAAAAAAGGAGAAAGGAAACGTTAAACTCAACTAAAAGAGTTACAGGCTGTCTGAAGGTGGTTAGAGACTAAAATGATTGAACAACACCAGCAAGCTGAGTTTAAGAGACTTTTGTAGAAAATTCCAGTTCACTGGTGTACTGTAGTTAAAAGGAAAATTTCCCAGTTCAGTGAAAACTCTAGGTACCTGACAGGTGATCCAATCACTAAAGCAGGTCTGATAATTAACATTATTTATAGAGATAGATTAGATTAGATTTAGATTAGATTTAAGCTAGTATATGTCCGGAGAGTGATTTCTAACTATAAAAATAAGCTTCCCATTGTGCTGCTAGTGAGGACCAATCAATTTTATCACACAGTCTGCAGTGATGAATGTTCTAAAGGTCACCAGTAATGAATCACAAGGTGAAGTGATTGAGTCTAGTGGTTTGAGGGTACTGACGGATGCATGTCCATAAGCTACATCACCGTTGTTCAGTACTGACAGTAAGGTTGCCACCACCATGTATACACAGGCGGACAACATTTATTTCGATATAGGAATCCAAGCCTCTGTCTAGTTTAGTACATGAGCTTTAGATGTAAGCTTCTCATCAAGCCAAATGCCAAGGTGTTTATACTCTGTGACTCGCTAAATGCTGGATCCTGTCATGGTTGTAATATTCACAATATTAAAATCAATATTTGAAGGTCTGGAGAACAGCATAAACTTAGTTTTCTTGCCATCTAAAACTAATGTGTGCTTGTACAGAGCATTCTGTAAGGTGTTAAGAGTTTTTTTTTATTGCTGCATGAGCAGATTCAGCAGAACAGGATAAATTAGTGTCATCTGCATAAGGCAGAGGCAGCAACATCATTAATATATATTAAATAAAACTGGATCCAGGATTGAGCCGTGTGAGACCACTTTGGTTATGGGAGTTAAATCTGATTTATGGTTACCCAGTGCCAAACGCTGTTTTCTGCCTGAGTGGTAATTCTGGGCTCACTGCATTGCATTATTGTTAAAGCCAATCCTTTGAAGGTATTCCGAAAGATGACTGTGGTCGACGACATTAAAAAACTTTTAAATCAATAAAAATAGCAGCACAGTGCTTCTTCCTGTCTAAGGCCACGTAGAGATCATTTAAAACCAGTGTGGTCACTAAGACAGGCCTGTGTTTTTCTCTGAAGCCAGATTGAAGTTTGAACAGGTCAGAATTTTTATAAAGAAATAATCTGAGTTGGCTATTCACTAAAGATCAAAAATTTTAGCTAAATATGACAGTTTTGAGATTGATCTATAGTTATTTAGATCTGCCACCTCTCCTCCTTTACGCAGCGTACAACATGAGCTGTTTTTCAGATACTGGGAATTCTACAAGACAAAATAGAAAGCAGAAAAATGTATATGTTCAAAAAATGACTGGGGTTGCAAGACACAAGAAATACGTCCTCCCCCATAGGTTTTTGTGGGTTGATAGCAGTGAGAGCATTAGCCACTATATATGTAGAGAGAGTCTGGAGTGTAAAGCGACCGTGGCTCTGAAGAGCAGTAGAAGTGCAGTCAGACTGATTCAAAGGCAGGTTTATGTCAGTATAAGTACTCACTATAATTCACTGTTTAAAGTCTAAAGAATGTCACTTGTATGGCTTACATGCTTCAAATGTCTGTGTTTCAGTCAGAAGTAGCGTCAAACCCAGGCTGAATCAAAAATGGCTCTGTACTTGCTAAATAGTGTGTTAGCTATGGAAGTTTAGAAATTGTACCCTCTACAGCCAAGCAGTGCATTATTTGTCGAGTGTGGATGTAGAAGTTCTAAATGACTATTTATTAGCTATACTATGCACTGTTGGGGTGCAGGATCCAGTATTTAAATTCCTACATACTGCACAATGTAGGAAGCAGGACGCCATTTGAGATTCAGGGTGAGTTGAGGGGCACAGTTGGACTGGTGCTATATAAGACTGTCAGTGGTAATTTGGTGACCAAAAAGTACTTAAAGTGAAGTTTTTTTGCATTAAACAATGCCATGTCATCGTATGTTCATTGTTATATGAAAAAAAGTTAAAAAGTTCATGAAATCATGTGATGGGAAAGTGAACATTGTTCTCTGCCTTCAGCAGTCCACGGTTGTGTGGAAATGATATCATACCCTAAAGGAACTACGTTTCTTAGCAGAATACTTGTTTTGTCGAATATTATTAATAATAAATTATTTTCTGAAAAATTGTGTATTTTTTCATATTTTATGTTGGCTGCCGTCTTATAAAAGCAATTAAGCCACTTGAGGTCACGCATTACTGCGATTTTATCTCGGAAATGCTTCGCGTGGTGCCTAAGAACAAAATCACAGTAACGCATGGCCTCTCATGGTTTATTGCTTTATTGATTACTGGCTACATTCTTTTTCTCTCATTATACCAAAAACATGTCTGCAAAACACTAGAAGGCACAAGCAAGTCCTCAATGAATGGGGGTAAATGAAGCTAAACTGCTCAAAATGTTAACAAGATTTTAAGTATTTCCTTCAAATTTGGAAACTTGCCAGTACCTTTCAGTTTTTCTACAGCAAACAGGTTTTGAGCAGCATAAGACGGTAGCCTTACCGGTACAGAGTGCTGATTTGTTGGCAAGGTGTTCACCTTATTGGCTGAGTGAAGCAGGTTGCACATAATAAGGTCATGAACGTAGATAAAGCACTGTTAGAAAGTTATATAGCTCCCCATGTGAATCATGGAGGACGCACATGGCCCTGTTCTCTTCTACAGAGACTGGACTATTTGTCATTTCATCCACTGGCTCAACCATCTCTTTACAGCTTCAAAATAAACGCTTTTCTGCGACAGTACAAAAAATGATTTGATAAAGCTGTGACTCCAAACACTGTGCTATAATGTCTGAAGTAGAAGCTCCTCAATGATTATTATTATTATTATTATTATTATTATTATTATTAGAAAGCAGTAGCTGAAATTCATTATGCAGTGAAAGTCAAAGTGTCAAAGTTTATGTCTACAGTGCTTTTTACAACAGGTGTTGTCAAAACGCAACTTTACAAAAAAAAGCAGCATGTCAGCGCTGTACTGTCAGGATAAATGGCCTTTTTCAGCATCTGACTCTTTACACTCTCATTTCGTTCCTGCAGCTGATAAAAGCGACAGACGAGCCTTAAAATAATCGCGAAGAGATATGTTTGACTGGCCGAGCATCAGCGACATGAGTAGTTAAACTCAACTTGATAAACTAATGACAAAGAAGCAGATATCAAGTAAGGTTTATTATTATTATTAATGATTGTTAGGACGCTAATCCAAACCCACTGAGTGGAGTAAAACTAAAGACATCTCAACACCAAACAGTTACTCCTGTTATTGCCATAAGAGTATTTTCAGACAAAATGCGATGGACTGAAGCTCCAAATAACAGTCCACATAAACAGCTACCTTTTTTTCTTTTCCCCTTGTTTGACATCTCTGCAAACATATGCTTTTTAAACAAAACAGCAAATTTTGGTTTCTGTGATTGAAGTGAAATAGGCGATCTGATCTTTTTCAGGCCCTAATTCACAGGTTTTCATTATGAGCAATTAAGAAAAAAAAAGCTACTTAAAAAAAAAAATCTTGATTTTATTTTTTCTGTGGACCGCTATGCTTTATAGATATAAACAGGTGGGCCTTGAGGTGGAAAAGACAGAGAACCCCTGGTATAGTCTTATAAAAGAAGACACACACACACACACACACACACACACACACACACACACAACACACACCACGACGAACAAAGGATATATGCTGTTCTTTCTAAATTACATATTTCACTTCCAAAAATAGTTACTTAGAACACAGCCAGCTAGCTTAGCTATCCTGGCTGGAAATTGTTGGCTTGTTTTGATATTTATATATTATTTATATATTGTTTGTATATGTACATGGAGTCTCAAATGAGGAGGTCATAGTGAGGGCCAGATCGTACAGATCAATGAAGATGAACAACAAACCACACAAAGTACAGGTCTGACAAAGTTACGGCTAGGAATTAAGACAGAGCTGCAGCTGCAACGTTACTGTACTGAGCTGGCTTATCAAAGACGTCAGCTACTATCACTAACCAACAGACATGCAGAACAGCATCATCTTTAGCAGAGCACAGGAATAGGTTAGGATAAATGAATAAACAATTGTCAATTGGTTGCCACGTAACGAGTGGATTTGCACATTCTGTCCCACACAGCAATTTTAGTCTGACCAACTGGATACGCTTTTGACTAGCAAGAATTTTAGAATTTTAGTGAATTTCTCATCACTTACCTCACAGGCTAGAGACTGCTTGTGGGCTGTCGTTTCCTCCAGCATTTGAGAGTAAGCAGCTAAATAATGTGCAGCATCTTGCCAGCGATGGTGCAGCATGGCATCTCTAATGGCCTTCAGACATAACCTTGTAGACTTATGAAACCCACTTTCTTTAGACCGTGCTAAAAAGAGATATTAACAGTTTAAGTGGCTAAGACAAAATGGCAAATACATACAAATAAGCTTTAATATCACTTTCTCCAATCATAAGTCATATTACTGACCTTAAAGGAGATTTGTAAAAATCCTAATTTAAATGTTAACAGGAAAACAAAGCAATGCAGAGTGCTTTGATGTGAGATGCTCCATACTAGAGAAACGTGCCATCAGAATTGTTCACAGTGGTGGTGCTAGGAAACGTCTTAGGCGTCTCTGAAAGTTACCTCACATAGTTATATTACGAAATGGTTACAAATATGCTGCCTAATACACTGTTATCCTAAAGTTTTAAAATAAATATTTAAAATGTATATATTTTTCATTTACTCATTATGGAGAGGGTGTTTTAAGATAAAATAGTACCACTCAAATTTTTTCAGACTTACCACGATTTTACTATTACCAACACTGCATAAAAACTAAGAAGACTCCTCTAGGTTCACTGGTCGTTTCGGATAGTAAATAAAATGGCTACAGGGAGACATCGTGACCGCTGGTCCCTATCACCACCACTGTAAAGAAACCTGAGTTTGTAAGTTTCTCTTCAATGCACTATTTCACGTCAAAGCATTCTGGATGACTTTGTTTATATAACGACTGCCTCACTCATGCGGACACTCTGAAAAATCAGTGGAATTCCCTTTAGGTTACCATTAGTGGGAGACACGTGTACCAAACTGGGCAAACTGGGAGACTTAATCTTCCTCAAAATTCTCTCATCCTCCGAAGAGTCATTCACGTCTGATCCTGAAATATTTAGTTCCGCTTCGATATCATCCATACCTTACAGTTTCTATAATAAGAAAAGAACATGGGTTGTTGGTTTATTTCATATTTAGCATTAAATCGTGTTTTAAAGCCTAGCTTTGACACAGAACTGTCTCTGCTATTTTCACGTTTGTTCTCAGAAGCACTTGCTTTCTTTGACGATCTGCAACAAGTGCATCATTTAAAACGCACCTAAGACGTTATTTGACGTCTTCCATTATGTTTAACACAAAAACGATCTTTTCCCGAGGCTCCTCCTAAAACTAGCCAAACTGCAAAAACAACGATGGGTACGGCTTACATTTCCAATACGCTTCGCCGCCGCCTCTTTCTTTCTTTCTTCTCTTTCTTCTTCTTTCTTCTTCTTCTTCTTCTCCTTCTTCCTCTCCCGACAAAATTGCTGCCTGCAATCTGTTATACATACTGCCACCTACCGACCTGCGTGCACATTCTGTCACAAACACAACATAATTTCTCCACGTTAAAACAGAATCTTCCTACCGTTTCTAATGCCGTGAACAAATGCCATCTATGCTTGTCTGTCAGAACTACATATACTAAACATACACACACACATATGTTCACATTTTTGTGCACCTGTTGATCCAATCAAAAATCAAGGGTATTAATAGGGAATTAGCTGCCGTGTTACTGCAGTAACAGCTTCTACTCTTCTGGGAAGGCTTTAATAAACTTTACAACGTTAGTGTGAGAATTCGGCCACACTAGCATTAGTGAGATCAGGGATGGTAACCTTAAGTTTATAAGGAGCTGCACCAGAATTTCATATTCTATTGGCAACAATTTCTGTGGAGATTATACAAGCTGTGTGTGTGTGCAATTTGTCACCTGTGTCAGCAATACTTGCATGTTAAAGTAGCAGAATTAACTGATTAAAAGGGGTGTCTGGACATACAGTATACTTTTGGACATATATTGTATATATGGAGACAGGAGATTCACTACATCGAATATCTGTCTGCAAAAGCTTAAATAAACCAATCCTATTTTGATTCTTTCAGATACTTCCAACCTGCAGCCTCCTGGCACTAGAACATTTTATTTAAATGTAGTATGATGTTTAAGAGAGTAAATTCATCTGAAGCAGAACAGTGTTTTTAAATTACTGGAAACACAGAATATCCAGTGTATCTTGTCTGTATTACTAAATTTTAGGCGCTACAGAGTCATAGGGCTTCAAGGCCTAAACCTGAGTGGACTTATAAAGGGAATCTTGCTTTTAAAACATAAAACATATGGCAGAATAGTGCATGCCCTGTTATGGTGTTTTCCTCTCAATGGCAGTTACAAACTGTTAATTTTAGCACTGTCAATGTAACCTTATCCTCGCTGTTTCTGTACCCTCTCTTCTTCTTATAGCATGACAATTTGTTTTATATTACAAAGATGTGTTTAGTGCTAGCACTAAAATTACTAAAAATTTAAGTATACAGGTGACACCCACTGATCTGATATACCTAGAAATATAAATACCTATCTATACCACTGCATATAAAATACCCTTCATTTGAGATGCAGAGAAGCAAACTGTAAGCCAGCCAACTTTATCTGGGCTCATTTCAGTAGAATTGTGCTAAGCTGCTGTACTCTTTTGAGACTAGACAGACATAGAAGAAGACTTAAAAGAGGGCCAAGCTTAATTATTTTATCTGTATTCATTTGGTTGATTTAAGAAGGCTTTTGCATGATGCAATTACAGGTCTCCATCTCCACAGTAATTCATGTAGTTGTACAATGCTTATTCACTACTTCATTATTGTATTGTATTTTAAAAGAAAACAAGCAGTTTGCAAGAGAGTTATTGGTTTGCAATTATTTTGCATTTAAATGTCAATTTTTTGGCTTCTTTCCGCCAGCTTGTTTTTTGAACTCTCTAGTCCATCTTAAACAGTGCATTCTGGTGCCTAAATATGCTAAAATGTTTCAGCAACACCGTTTAGGTGGAGCTGAACTGAAATTGGTGGCTGAAAGCGAGGCTGGACATAACCATTGATATCCAGTTGCAGGGATATCTTCCATTAAATGAATTTTGGGGGGATGCAGAATTAAACTAAAAGCCATTGTTAATGCTAATGAACATTTCACACACATATACCTGTGATATTTGTAATATTGATTTTCAAAAAAGGAAAGTTGGACATTAGAGACCCCCTAGCTGAATTTGGCAGAAATATGACACAGTACCGACGTGGTACAGCGGCTGTTGCCAACTTGGCCACTATGACAAGGTGGTTGTGTGTTTTACATATGTCTACATGTACCAGTACAATTACAACTAAATCAGTTTATGGGTAAATTTTAGATAAAGTGGAACACAGCAATATATCCACATCTGATGCTCACTATGAAGAAAATGCCCTTGACGCTGGATTAATCTCTATCTGCCGCATCTGTGACCTATGGTCAGCTAACACAGACAATAATTTCAAACAACTGACTAAAACAGAAAAATCTGCCACATGTTTAATTAAAGATTCTTCATGGGTCATGTATAAAGACAAAGTAATCATCACAAAATGATATATTGCTCTTAGTAGGTAGCCCTGTTGCCACACAGCAAGAAGGGCCTGGGTTCAATTCCTGGCTGGGTGACCAAGGTCCTTTCTGTATGAAGTTTGCATGTTCTCCCCGTGTCTGCGTGGATTTCCTCCCGCAGTCCAAAGATGCAGTCAGGCTGATTGGACATGCTAAACTGCCCCTTGGTGTGAGTGTGTGTGTTTGAACGTATATAGGTCTGTGTGTCTGCTCTGCAATGGACTGGTGAACTGTCCAGGATGTTTCCTGCCTTCCCCCCAATAATAGGCTCCAACTCCCCCTGCAACCCAGAAGGATAAGCCGCTTAGAAAATGTGTGTGTGTGTGTGCTGGACATGCTGTTGGCCATGCCCTGACGGGATGATTGGCAGGTGCAAAATCGTCAATGCATTTCTAAAGGCATTTTGCCACAGAACGAGCGCAATAGGCGAGAACATGTGATTGTAATTTACATTTAAATTTTGCCCTCTTTCTAGCTTGGTATACTCTTTGATAATGTAATTTAAATGCATTATTAGAGAGTGAAAATGCATATAAGATAAATGACATTTTAATTATCATTGACAATTACAATTACAGCATAATCTCATTAAGCATAAAATGCAGTTCTGGAATTTTAATTTAAATAAAGCTACTCATAAAACATCCCAATCTTTCTGTAAATGAAATGCCAATACTAGTGTACCAAATACAAATTAAAATTGCAGTACTGAATTTGAGATTACATTTTGAGCTTAACATTGTGTACATGAGTGGGAAATTTAAATGCAATAAAAATACATTGCCGTTTTACATATTACATTTTTATTTTAATTTTGATACTGATATGCTTCCATAATCCTATAAATAAGTGCATTCTACTTGAATATGAAAATTTTCACACTAAAGTGCTTATCTCTTCCCAGGATAGGTGGCAACTTTTTAGGATTTTTATCTCATGCTGCTTAAGAATTACAGTAATTGTGGTCTTCAAAAAAACTCTTTGGGGATGAAAACATAGATTTTGCAGGCTCTGGCAGACTAATCCGGACCATTTTACTCTGTTCTTTCCTGGAGAACTATTAAAAAATGTCCTGTGTTTAAAGAGTCAGATAGGACCTTTAATACTGTTTGATAGCAGGCTTGAATGGGGGTTAGACTTTAAACTATACAAATGCAGATTGACATAGGTCCAAAGTAGAGACAAACAGCCACGTTTATTTAATCTTTATGCAAAAATTTGTGAATGAAAAAGCGCTAAAATAGTAACCAAGCCTCTGTCTAAAGAGACAAAAAAATCACACAAAACAGATCCAGCATAAATCCACTGTTTCGAGAAACACTGTACTGAACCTTTTTGGACTCTGTCTCTTTAAATGCTCCCAGATACTATGTAACATGACCCCAGTCTTTTCTCCACCTTCGCTTGAGCATCGAATTCACAGCAGCAGCCCGGCTCGCAAATCTGCTGACGTGTCGGCGCAGCTCGTTCTGCCCATGCTCAGGCAGCCTGCTGCCCTGTCATAACTTGCCAGCATGGCTGGAATGTTTTCCCGTTTTTATAATTTTATGTTATTTTTCTATGTGTGTTTTTCAAAGGCCTCACCGGACCGGCGGTTTTCAGACTTCAAAAGATGTGCAGACGAGGAATGCAGTAGTAAGTGGTTAGCATAGGTCGCGTTAACTTTTGGTCATGGTGCAGAACAAGCGTCTGACGAAGATCTTAACGTTACCACGTCTGATAAGCTCTAGCAACCGCATAATTTAATTGTGGCGTACACTTATCATATTGCTGGGAAAGTGAATTGTGGTAGTCTACAGAACTGGAACACATTAACAATAGCTGTATCGGACATGTCGTTTTAGAACGAGATCACAGCTTATCTAGCTACGACAACTGACTGTTAGCGTGAGCGGCTGGCTAGCTAACTAGCAAGCCTTCGCTGTGTCGCCAATAAGCTGCCTATGTTAGGTAGCTAGCTACGGAACCATTGAGCCAGTTAGCTAGCTAGCTACTTACGCTTTTGATACTGGGAAGAAACAAACAAACAAACAAACTAAACTTTTCCCATTTATGATTAAATTTATCATTCATATGTAGCGTTACCTAGCTAATTGTTTTGTAACTAACTTGCTAACCCTAACCAGCTGATTGGAAATTGGGCAGCTCTTCGATGTAGCACTGTTTTTTTTGTTATGGAAATTGACTTGTGCCTAATTAGCCAGGAACATTAAGTCCTTAGTTCTTATCATGTTCACGTTGTTTTTCTTTGGAATCGTAAAGCCTCTGACCATACGAAAACAATCTAAAATGTGTCTTTTCTACGCTGTCAGTTAAGCAAACACCAGTAATTCTAAATCCTAGAGCTTTATGAGCCGTCACTGCAAGTCTGCATGTCACTGCTTTAACCTGATAGATCCAGTGTATTCTTCTTCAGATGTTTTGCAGGTGTAAATATAAAAAGGTAGTAGCTTACCTTGTAAAAATAATCATTTCATCCTAAATGTTTTCTTCTTTCATTAGTGCTCCTTTGTCGAGGGAAAGCAGCAGAAGACTTCTCCGGGCCAGACTGTCGATTTCTGTCCTTCAAAAAAGGGGAGACTATTTATGTGTACTATAAACTGTCAGGGCAGAGGTCCGATGTGTGGGCGGGAAGTGTAAGTATGAAAGTTAATGATTGATCATGTTGTTGGGGATAAATGTCTGAGAGTAGATTTCCCTGTGCACTATTAATAAACAAGTGATATAGTCAACATCTCTACTAATGATGATAGAATTTACCTCTAAAGCATTTCTAATGTCATAAATGGTGCAACATAACATAATTTTAAAAAAACAAGGTCACATGCTGCTATAAAGTGGTGTTGATTATGAACACCCTCCCCCCTTCTATTTTTAGGTTGGTAGCAACTTTGGTTATTTCCCAAAGGACTTTCTTAATATCAATCACATATATACTGAAAAGGAAGTAGAAGTACCTGCAGAGGTAAGTGTGATGTTTTGGTGACCACTATTTATAACTTATGTTAATGACTGCCCTTAGTGAACAACTATTTTTATGTTGTGCTTGTACTTGTAGCCACTTCTTTTATTTATTTCTTTTTTAATTATTTGTTGTTTCAATGCATCAGTGTAAAAATATTTTTCACAATGTCTAATATTGAGGCCATGTCAGCTGTTTCACATTTTCATGTTATGAAACAGTGTGAAATTCCACTGTACCTGCTATTTAATTGTATTTTGAAAGTAATCTGTGCCTTTCAATATTTTTCAGGAAACCGACTTTGTCTGTTTTGACACTGGACTAGATACATTTGACAGCTATGATATTGATTTGCTATTAAGCAACTCTTTATTATTAAATGAGGGTGACAGCCAAAGTGAGAAACCAAAAGGAATTGCTCACAGTGACGATACTGCAGTTGATACTAAGGATGTGGACAAATCTCTGGAAGAATCTCCTAAAGATACCAGTGACAGAGACATGAAAGATTCTGATTTGTTGCCCAAGGAAAATGAAGCTGAGCAGCCAGATGATACAGAGGATGTCATTTATTTTGAGCCTACTGAACCTACTCATTCACCTTTGGAATCAACCGTTTCAGAAACAATAGATGAAGAATCTTATCTTGTTGGAGCTACTTCTAAAAGTGATCTGAAGACTGCAGATGATGCAAATCAAGGGCAGCCAGTAAACAAAGACACTACAGATGAACCTTTGTCTAAAGGTGCTGGTGCTTTAGACAAAAGTTACCATGTCACAGAGGTAGAAGCACTGCCTGAATTAAAAACTACTTTAGGCACGACATTTGATGCTATTACTTCTGATGACGAAGATACACTGAGTGTAACTCCTTATTTTGATGAAGAAGAAAGCAACAAATTAGTTGACCAAGAAAGTGAACAAGTAGAAGAAAGGCCAGAAGAATTTTCCCTACTTCCAGCTGCAGAGGAGCTCCCTCATTTTGAGGAAAACATTCTTGGTCCAGCTGAGTCAAAGGATGAAGGTATTCCACTTGAACATGCAGCTGAAAAACAGGAAGATGTCTCAGAGACAACCAAGGATGACATGTGGTCATCTTTAGGGGACACAGTTTTTAATATTGTAAATGGAGGAGAGAGAAGAGTTTTACTGGAAGACACTGAAGTTGGCAATGATGAGGAGGATGAAGAGAAGGATACTGACCCAGACAAATATGAGAAAGATTCAGAAGATCAACTACATGTTCAGGATTCAGAAATAAATGAAGATGCAGAGAAAATGAAACACTCCAATAAATATTTTATAACTGAGGACCCTATTGCAAACGATGCAGAAGCAGATGAAACAGAGCAGTCCAATAATGACTCTACATCTGAGGACCCCATATCATCAAATGACACTAAAGTGGGTAAAATTGTGTACTCTGATGTTAACAACACTATAATTGAGAACCCTGCTTCATCAGAAGACACTATAGTAAGTGAAACCAAACACTCTAATATTGAACCTATAACTGAGGAGCCCATTTCACAAAACATCATTACAGACACTGTATTGTCTGAGAAGGACACCAAAACATTACAATATGAGACTCAAGGAGAAGAGTTGGAGAGCGATGAGAAATCTGAACTCTCAAAAAAGTACTCAGATGTGGTTGAGACGTTTAATGATGCTGTTGTCAGATCTGAACGTGATACCCCAACATCTAATTTGGAAGATGACAAATCAGTTGAAAAAGTTGCTGAGAAAACTATTCAGAAGGAAACCATAACTGAAAGCTTACAGTTTCACAAATGGGAGGCTCTCTCCAAGGATGGTACACAAAATGTATTTCACATTGATGACAAGAACTATGAAGAAGATGTCAAATTATTTGAAGGCACATTGAAGACAGAACATAAACCTGAAGCTGAAGAGGAATCTGACATCTCTCAGAAGAAAGATGAACAGATTGAAAAAGCGAAAAAAGACGTAGTCCATTTATTTGAAAGCACACTGAAAACAGAACACAAAGCTGAAGAAGAATCTGACATTTATAAAGAAAACGAGGATACTGAGGAGTTATTAGATGATGAAAATGCTATATTATCCAAAACTGAGGAAGTAGAAAAATCTACAGAAAATGACAAGTCTAAAGCAGAATTAGAAAATAGAGAATTAACCATACCTAAAGAACCAAAAGAAAATTCATCCACACAGACAATTGGCGATACAGAATCAGACATTGTACAATCCTTGGATTCCTCAGTCTCAGCCTATGATAAAATAAATGATACACAGTCTGGTAATAAAGGTGCAGATGAAGTGCAGCAGGATCCAGTCACCAGCAAAGAGCCTGAGTACAGTGACAGTGTGCTGAGGCTAACACTTTTAAGAGACCACTTTAAGGATGATGAAATGGAACGCTTTCAGAGATACTTAGATCTGAAAGACCTCTTAAGAGTTGAAGCAATGTTCTCTGAGTTGGAGCAGGAGCTTAAGTCTGCTAGGGAGTCAAACTCAGACACCAGTGATGACATAGAAAGGACACTGGAGAGTATCCTGGAGGTTTCTGAAAACACCATACTGGATGAGATTGAGAAAATGCTGGACACCCGGGAACAGAAGGCTCGGGACCTTGGACAACAAGTGGACACAGTCATGTTTGACGAAGAAGCGGCCATCTTGGATGACTTTCAGGAGTTTGCTTTTTATCTACGTCAGAAGTACTCTGCAGTCAGTGACAGTGTTCCATTGGTAGGAGAGAGCCAGTCCCATTTTGAAATTGGTAAGCCATATTCTCAGATTCACTAGTTATCCTAGTGATAAGATGTTCTGAAACACAGATGTAAATTAGCTGGTGAAAAAAAATTCCAGTCCATTATGTAAGCTATGGAATTTAAACAACACAATGTCCTCCAAATTAAAAATAGTTGCAAGATTTTGGAGAGCTTAGCAGAACTGTGCGTTTTATATTCTTTTTTTTATTTTAGATTGTATTCTCATGCCCAAGTATGGTAACCTGAAATGCAAACCACAGATTTAATGAGCAGATGGATTTGAAACCCATTGGATAAATGTTTTTGCCCATGTTGCGTTTCAGAAAACTTGAATGCATCTGAAGAGATGGAAGATTCAGTCAAAACCATCCCAGTGACTGAAGCTGCTGAAGCTCCTAAGATCCACAAAGAAGCTAATGATATATCTAATGTAAATATTGAGAAGGATAAGTCCAATAGCCAAGACGTGGGCCTTGAGGAGGATGGTGGCCATTTCAATAAAAATAAAGACATTCGAACAAGCTTTAAAGACCCAGAAGAGGTGCAGAGAGGACCACAAGCTATTTTGGAGAATCCTTTGGACATTGATCTGTCTCAAAGCCAAATGCAATCTTCAGGTTAGTTTTGATTTTGTGTTTAACTTACTGCTATAACATTTGATGTTTGTTATGATTTAAAATGTTGCATTTGCAATCACCAGGAGCATTGGAGTCCTCAAGTGCCTCTGAGTACTATGACAATAAAGCAAACTATGACCAAGCCAGTACATGTAAATCAGACCATGTTTGGGGCTGGCTGGTTCTTGGCTCTGAACTTCTTGGAGTATATGCAGAAATTGTGAGTAAAAATTGATTTATTATGCTGCTTTGTGTGGTTTTACAAGCTTCGTTATGCTCCATAAATGTTTGAAACTGGACTGGAAGATGATTAATGAGCCGCTTGTGTATTGATCACATTTTTAGCTGTTTAGGCAAAGCGACTTTGTGAGGTTCCTTTGTCACGTGAATCGTGACGTGAAGAGGTTAACAGGATTTTCAGATGTTGACGTGTTCTAAGGGTTGAAGTACAGACTTGAAATACAGTTCGGCGCAGTCGGTGTTTATTTTTTGCAGTAACGTACAGGTCTAGCTTCGTTCATGAGCTAATCGAGCTCAGTTTTTGGTGTGGAGAGACACTGTGGGAAAACAGTTAGGGGTTGGCAGCTTGTGATAGTTACTTCTCTAGCTAGCTAACCTAGCGGTTTGCTTTAGCTTTGAGCGGCCGGTATGAAGTAACTTAGCTAACTCTAGCTAGCAAGCAATCCGCCATTTAGCCTACATTTGGCGATTGTGCTGCACATGTATATCGGTGCTTGAATCCCTAGCTCGCCGCCATTAGAAACGGAATGGATTGGGGAGTAATCCACACTTCTCCTCCGTCCGGAGTATTTGACCTGTGGACGACTATTTCCGTCGTGTTTCTGTCGGGATTCCAGGAAGTAGGTGTTTTGTTATCGTTTTTGCTTGTGTCTTATGCTTAGCGAGTTAACGTTGCCTGGCTTTAGTAACTAGCTAGCTAGCTAACCGTACTTCTTATAGAAGTTATTTGCGAATCTTGCTAACTAATACGGGTAGTCTCGCTGGTACTGTGGCTTGAATGAAGCAGCCGTGTAAAGTAGCGAGCTAGCTGACTAGCCAGTTAGCCTAGAATACTTGTGGCGGCGGTATTCTCGCATTGCCATCGTCTCTTGACACATAGCCGACGTTATTTGTTTGACTGTAGCTACGTTGTCTGTTATAACCAAGGACTAAATTCGTTCGTGCAAAAGTAAACCATTATTACATTACTGAGTCATCGTTAACTGTTG